AAGCCAGGCCCTGAGCTAATATCCGTGCCCATCTTCCTCTACTTTATATGTGGGACGCCTACCACAGCATGGCTTGCCAAGCGTTGCCATGTCGGCCCCTGGGATCCGAACCTGCGAACCACAGGCCGCCAAGAAGCAGAACGTGCAAACTTAACCGCTGCGCCACCAGGCCAGCCCCTAGGGCCACAGTTTTTATCTCCTAGTTTCAAACCATAACTCCAGCCTCTTAACTGTGGCCTGAACAGAGAATTACAAAAAAGAGGAGATAGAGGTCTTAATCTTACTATGCTTGTTACTTACACTGTATATCCCTCCCTCCCCAAGGAAACCCCGTTCCAGTTTCAAGATTAGTGTCAGAGACACTCTGGATTTTTCCTTACCAAAGCAAAGCTTTAGTGTTTAGCATTTTCCTAGCAAAGATCTTTCCACTCCTCAGATGAATATAGGGTCTACTTTTAGGAAATGGGAAAGTTTTACCCATTCGATAAATCATCATCAACATCTTCTACATTGAAATCAATTTGTCTCCTTTGATTAAACCAACCCTCCACATTTCTGTAGCAGTCAACTTTGTTCCTACTGTCATGATTATCTTTTTTTAGTTGCTGAGATATGTTGAAAGTAAAAGAATTGCAAAAAACTTAGAATTTTAAAATTCTACTTGTAAATAAGCACCTAGTAACATTTTTATTAAATGTTGATGAGCAGATACAGTATTGTTCTTTGAAAGCTTATATTCTAACAGCACTTATATTTGTTTCTCTGTTTCTTTCCCCTCTACCTACCCGCCCTGTTAATTCATACTTTATCTGATTTGCATGCAGGGTGTCACAGTTTTCATTTGTTAGTTGAAAAACTAGACCTCACTAATACGGAAAACTACCATCAGACTAAAAATGAGAGCCCAGATTAATGAGCAAACTTTGGCCGCATGTGTGTGTTTGTGAGAGAGAGAGAGAGAGAGAAAAGGACTTTTCCCAGAAATTCCAGAATCGTAGATTCTTGGGCACTAAAGGTGCTTAGAGGACGTACACTCAGTGATTCTCAATTCAGGTTGCACATTGCACTCCCCTGGGAAACTTCTGAGGCTGTTTTCCCACTGTGAACCAGTTGGACCAGCATCTTTGAGGATGGGGCCTGTGCATGGGTATCTTTTTTTTTGTTAAAGATTGGCACCAGAGCTAACAACCCTTGCCAATCTTTTTTTTTTTTTCTTTCCAAAGCCGCATAGTACGTATTTGTATATTCTAGTTGTGAGTGCCTCTGGTTGTGCTATGTGGGATGCCGCCTCAGCATGACCTGATGAGCAGTGCCATGTCCGTGCCCAGGATCCGAACCGGCGAACCCCCAGGCAGCCGAAGCAGAGCACTCGAATGTAACCACTCGGCCAAGGGCAGGCCCCTGGTATCTTTTTAAACCCAGGTATATTCTAAAGTACAGCCAAGATTTTAAAACCCCTGGTTTAGTCCAATGCTCTTTATATGGATAGACAAAATAAAAACCCTTCAGGGAGAAATTATGTCTCGTCGGCAGCTGTAGAGCCTGGATTCGAAGCCACAGCCACAGTACCTAGCCCCTGTTCAGAGCAGATTCCATAACAATCCAGTACTAATATCTCTGTTAGTTTTGACTCTTTTGAACTTTCCCTTGATAACTTTAGCAGAAGGAATCATGCTTCTTAAATTTTTCTGTCAAGTAAACTTGAGAAAAAACTCACCATGCTGTGCAGTAGTATAAATTAACACATGAATTCCCTACATTTCTCAGTAGAGTTGACCTCCTTGCCTTTCACTAAAAATAAGTTAGTCTTTGATTGTTGTGAAGAGTTTTTGAAACATATTTATAACTTCCATTTTACATAAGTCAAGAAGAGATCTTACATCATTTTAGCATATGTAACCCATTTTTAAAGTCATAAAGTGTGTGTAATTCACTTCCTGAGAAACATTTTGAGAAAACAGCACTGATAACATGGGCCCAGAGAAAGCAGTGCTGAAGATGGAGATAGTTACACATTTTCCTGTTCTTTGACATCTATCTTTTCTGTATGTGATATCTGTTGAGCCCATCAAAGTCTAAAATATTTCAATTCAGCATAAAATTGCAGTACCAATTGTTATAGAGCATATATTTTATCTTGTAGAGAGATGGAAAAACCTATCTAAATGCATCATGCCTGTGCTCAGAAGCAATGCAAATCTTCTGTCTTGCCAGTGCCAGAAATAAATGAAAACGATAGTAGATAAAGGCTAGGAACATCTTGCTCTTTTGCACTCATGCAAAATTTTGTATGTAGTGATGATCATCATCATGCATTAAGCATCCACTGTAAGCTAAACTTCTTCTATGGGCAGAAGAGTGTTGAAGGCTTTGTTCCTACCTTCAACTCTTGTTAATCAAAAGCGAATAAACAAATACAGTTGAAAGTAATTGGGAGTAAAGAATGAACTTTTAATAAGAAGAAACTTACAAGTATGAATATATTCTATGAATTATGAGTAAAGCTATATACATTTACAGGATTTTTCAACCTATTACAAGTGTCCAATAAAGACTTATTGACCTAATTAGATAGTTGAACTGAGTGTCTATAAGTGGATGCTATCTTATGTGAACTGTGTATGATTTGTGCTAATTATCACTACAGTGCAAAGGATAGAGAAATTCATATTTTTTAATGATCACTTTTTTAAAGGCCTGAAGAAAATGTCCATAGGAACCACAGAGTAAAGAAGATCAGTGTGTTAGTAGGAGCAGGCCAGATGGCAGTCTATAATGAACACTATAACGCTCTCATGGAATTTACCACTACTCAGAGTATGAATGTCCACATTATCAGCCCCTGAGTTTGACTCAAGTAGGTGATCTCACTCTGGTCATACTCTCAAAAGACTGAAGTACCTGAACTAGGCGGTCAATTCATGAATGGGAACCACACTACTACTGTGTCCAAAACATTGATATCCTATGTGTCCTCTACCCAGAGTGCCTCTTTCTGACTTGGCAGTCACTGGGGGAGCTGACCAGTAAACATGGATGGTTGTGAGGGACATGCCATCCAGACCAAAGGGAAGTCTGAGGAATCTGCTGAATAAGTGAGTTCTCCAGTTGCCAGGAGGATGTAAGATCCTGATCAACACTGGCAACTTCTGATTCCTGGATTTTCTCTTCATTCTCAAAACTAGTGAAGGACATTCCATTTTCCACTGAACTCTAGGGTTCTGTATAGGATTATTTTGTGGAAGATGGATCTTCTTGAAAAGAAAAAACAAGATCATAGCCACTCTCATCTTTCCATCCTCTCCAATTTTAGCTTCTCTGATCACTTTCCAATCCTGTCTCATTGTAATGACATTATTTCCAGCTCTTAGTGGAGTATTGAGAGATCCCCCACTCTTCAGTCACTCTTTCACTGAGACAATCACAGAAGGCTGATCATCTAGGGATAATCATGGATGTCTTATGCATAGCTTTTACTCGTTTAATTCTCATCATACAATATTATTTCTCTTATTTCCTTGGGAAGTTTTCAAAATTATGAGGGAGAATTTTACTTTTTTTAATAGATGCTGTTGTAGGGTGTTCAAATCTTTACACAATATTGAGAGGAAGACCTACATAGAGTATACATAAATGGGCAATCTCATATTCGTTTTTCTTTTTTAGCATTCATAAGCATCTTTATTCCCTATGTTTTAAAAAACTTCACTACTTGCATTATAGAATGGCTATGACATCCATTGGCAATTTCACGCTTTTAACAAAAGAATCAATTTTTAAAGAAGTATAAAAGCTTGTACTTTAACTATAGAGCATATGTCAATTTACATGCAAAAGAACAAACCCAATCTTGCCAATAGATTCAGAAATTGACAAACAAAACAGAAAAGTTTAGCAAGTGAAATATCATACACCTGAGAATCATTTTTCCTGAGACAGGAAAGAATCATGTATCAAGAGGGAGAGCATAAGACTCTGTCCTTCCACCACACACAGTTAAGCTCATTTTTTATTTACATAAAAAGGAGCAAAATAAACAGTGCCACTTCAGCCTGTCCCTTGGAGTTTAAGTTTCAGGAAAAAAGAAATCGTGACTATACCCTGGTGGGATTTCTTATTTTGCTTGAAAAGCAGTTGAATTTTAAATCACGAATCATTAGTTTCCTAAAATATCTGTTAAAACCCTAGGGGAAAATTGTTAAGTAGCCTGTCTTCTGATTTTTAAGATGACTGTTTGTAGTCATTCTCAAAATGCATTTCTTGCAGGAAAGGTCTTTTATTTAATTATTTCTTTCCTGTCCTTGTCTTTTTTTTTTTAAATTTTACAAACTCCCTAACAGATTCAATACCCTGAGAAAACTGGAAGGTATTTATAACTGAACAACAGATCTGTAGAAACCCAAAGGCAGTTACCTCTTGTATAAATATGCCTACAGCAAATTTCAACTCGTTTTTAAGAAACAGAATGTTAAGCTTGCTCAAGAATTTTATTGAGGCATAAAATTGGCATTGTCTACTGTTAAATATTTCCTGGCTTCTCTTCCTTCTAGATCCCCTCAATCCTAATTCTATCTACCATTCTCCAACTAGAAAACACTATGTGGGCACAGCTAACACAGTCAGAAGCCCTTAAGAAGTATGAATCCTTGTGTCCTCCTGTTTAGTATAATATACTCGCAGCCACACTGCTTCATTGCTTTTAGGCTCCCAATGCTATGTTCTTATTTTAGGCCACCCTAAAAAATGTTCCTCTTCTTTTGGGTAATGTCAGTACATAGCATAGGCTAAAATTTCATGCCTGCCTTAAATTTAAATCTCTGAGGGTTTTTTTGCCCTTGTCAGGTAAATATCCAAAAACTAGGAATTAATTTGTCCTTGGGGTAACTATTTTCCAAAATAATCAGTCTCTACTCAAAAAGACTTCAGGTGTTAATTATTTAAAGCATTGAATTTTTGCTTATATTTTTGAAAGATTTCTAAAGAGAAATATAAAATGTTTGAAACTATGTCCATGAAAATAGCAAGCATGATGTTCGAAGGTTTGTCCACATAACTCAGGGCTTATCTGAGGTTTTCCATGTCATGCAGAACAGCTCCTTCATAATTAATCTGTGCAAATTCTGTAGAATTATGATCAGAAAGAAGCTTCCTATTTTTTACTTCCATTTTTTTTATATGATCATAATATATTTCCCCTTGTTGATTTTTAATCTTATAGGCAAGTGATAACTTCTCCATTGTGAGACAGAGAATGAACTTCAACCTTTTAAAAAGGAAGCAGAGTAGAAATATCAATATCAATATAATTGAATACCTTCTGAACCCCTCCTACTTACATAGCATTCTACTGTAGGTTACAAAGCGACACTTCTTTGCCTTCAATGTACTTATAAGTAATTCAGAAAATAAAATATACAGGAAAAAATAGTAACACAAGGTACTTCATTGTTCAAGAATTATAGCAAAGCAGTTGTTCATTCGTTCAACAAATAGTTATTGAGCGCCTGCTATATGCTAAGCACTCTGCTGAATGCTGAGTGTTTAAAACATGAAGAAGCTTAAAAATAGAAATGGTCACAGGGAAATGTGGCTGGAGAGTTAGGGAAAGATTGGGTGATGTAAGGCCGTGTTCTCTATCCTAAGAACAATGGGAAGACATTGAAGGTTTTCTAACAAGGGGTTGACATAATCAACTGTGTATTTTTAAAAGATCACTCTAAATGCCATAAGAATACATTGGTGGGAAACAACATGTGAGATGGGAGACAGAAAACATCCAAGTAGTGTTCCATGCAGCAGACAAGGTCTTAGTAGCGAAGGTGTGGGTCCTGGAGGAGGAGAAGGAAGAGGGAGATAGAGAAAGAAAAGGGACAAAGTAGATAGATTTGAAAATCATTTAGGAATAAAGTCAAAAGGATTTGATGATCAAAGACTGAGGTTGAGGGAGAAAAGAAAGATCAAATCTACTCTGATTCTTTTTTAAAATATCGAAGACCTTGGCTTTTGGCTTATCCAACTGAGGCTGATAGTGCTGTTACAGAAACAGGGGACGCTAAAGGAAGCCTGTGTTTGAGAGGAAGGTTTTTATGAGTCCAATTATGGACAAATTCAGTATGTGGAGCCTTCAAGACATCCAAGTTGAGATGTCAAGTATTCAGTTAGAAATAAAAGTCTGGAGATAAGAGAAGAAAATGTTAAGCTAAAGATAGGATTCGAGAGTCATCATCAAATGATAACATCACATACCTTGTGATGAGCTCTCTTATTAGTATATACAATGGAAGATAAAGTGGTTTAGATTAAGTTTCTGTCATTGTGAATTAGAAAAATTTGGAAACGTTTTGTGGGAGAGGATGGCTGAATCATGAAAAAACAGGTGGAAGACAGATAAGAAGAGAGAGAAGTAGAAATGAAGGAAATGGCAGGCACACAATAAAAATATAACTAAATAGATTGCAGAGATCTTTTTGGTTGCAAGTAGCAGAGATACCAACCTAAACTTGGCTTGATCAAAAAAAGGCATCTATAAACTCACACATAACTGAAAAACTCAGAGTATTCCACCTGCAAGCAAGGCTCTGTCCAGGGGTAGAACAACATACTCAGAACCCAGTTCCTCTTTTTCTGTTTTTCAACTATTTCCTTGGCATTGACTTAATATGTTCTGCTCTCATGATCCCAAGATTGTTACCAGTTGTTCCAGAGGCTACATGTTCACGTCTAGCAAGTGAAAAGTCTAGCAAGAAAAAAACAAAGTTGTTTTTCTTACATAATAGGGCAATGAAAACTCCAGAATGGATATCATTGGCCTATTAAGGTCATGTGCTCATCCCTAATATTGTAGGTAGAGATTGAGATACACGGATTATCTTAAACTAGTTATGGTGCACCTGTGGAGTGGAGACAAATCCTCCCACCAAACCACCCAGAGTGTTAGGGAAGGGGGATAGGAAATCTACAAGGATCTGTATGATAGGGAGACTTAAATGCCAAGTTAGAGACCTTGGACTTAATCCAGTAGACCAAAAAGAGCTCTTGTGTTTTGAACAGAAGAGGAATCCAAGGAAACGTTTTAAGAAGTTAAAGTTTAAGGCAACTATAGGACATACTGCAGTGTTTAAGAAATCTGTTCAAGAGTCTATAGCAATAATCTAGGAAAGAGATAGTGAAAGCCCAGACTATGCTTTAGTAAGAAATGTTGATGAAAGGATGACAGTAATGAAGTGATGGATATGAACAATATTTCAAAGAATCCAGAGGACTTAGCAAGACAATAAGAATGAAATTTGTGGTGGAACTTCAAACTCTTCCACTGAGATTTTGACTAGTGTGATGGCTTTGGCACTTAGATAAAGATGAGATTCCTTTTTTTACCATAGTACTTGACCCTCTTCTTCCAAACCCAGCTCTAAGCCAAGCTTTCCATTTCGTTTTGTTCTAATTAGTTACCATCATCTTGTGACCCATTATTCCCCACATGCACAACTTTCCTAGGAGTCGAAAAGAAGGCAAGTTCCCACCTCTGTCAGAATGAAAGCTGTCCTCAACTCGACAGAACGAGAACTTGCAGATTATACTGCAAAGTAGAAAGATAGCTATCACCACAATCATAGCAGCGGCACTTACTTTTTAACAAATCTTTTTTAAGCACTGTGTCAACCTGCAATAATTCTATTAGGAAGCAACGGAAAACCTCGTGGTTTAAACAAGTGGAATCCAGAGGAAGCAGTTACTAGCATTGGTTCAGCTGCTCATCAATAACAGAGCCTGTATCTTTGTGTTTCTCTGGACTTTCATTGTGTTTTACATCATGGTGACAAGATGTCTGCTCTCCCTTCAAGTGTCACATCCTCACTCAAGGCAAGCAATTGTGTGCAACAGAGAAAAGGAACAGGAATCTTTCTGTTTATCAGTAAAGCAAATTTCTGCCTGCATTTCTTACTCAGCATACTTCTTATAGTTTATGGGCCAGAATGAGGTCACATGACCATTCTTAGCAGTAAAGGAGGCTGGGAAAGTCAATATTTGATCTTCTCATCTCTATTTGTGACACAGCAAAGAAGAAGAAAATTGGGAATGGTTTTTGGGTGGCCAAGCAATAGTAAGTTTTCCCTGAAAACTTACTGTTTTACACTGTACTCTGTGCTTACATGTGTGTTACACTCTTGTCATTTGTATTTGACCTTGTATTTATCTGTATTTGTGGCTTCCTCTACCCTTTAGGAGAATATTTGCCTGGTTAATTACCAATTTTAAAAATAGACGTTTTATTCTCTTTTTCCATTAGCCACTGCCAACATCTGCTTAACTCGTTCAGCAAAGATGCAAGAATTTTCGTTTCCCTGAGTAGGCAACTCATATTGACTAGAAAGGATATTATTTTTATTTATGTCTAATTATCTTGGCAAGCATCACCTGTGTGAAAGAAAATATAGCGAAAGTACCAGATGATTCCATGGGGATTTAGTAAAAGTATCACATTTTATCTTGTCCAGGGTGTGACAGAGTCTCATGTAAGGATGTATTTCCAAGAGACCTCATCAACCTTGCCTTAGAAAGAAATTCAAAACCAAAATGTAGCACCTGCATATCAAAAATAAAATTAGTCATTATACCACTTGATGCAATGTTTAGAAAAAATAGTCAATTAAAGCGATATGAATTCAACCAGAACCCTCTGCAGGCAGCAGCATCATGCAATTCTGACTTCACAATGACATGAAATTTTAAATGACAACTGTGCTAAATCAGGGAGCAGCAAACCCAAGCCAGGTTTAAATTTAGTAACACTGCTAGTTTACTGAAAATAACCTTCTCCAGAGCAGATTCTCTATAAATTTCAGGTGACCAACTACTCGTTTTTCTGTTCTGCTCACAGACAATCGGGGACCCAGGGGCTTCGGCATTGATGACTTCTCTTCTCTACGGCGTTTCTCGTGTCCACTTCACGAGTCTCCTTGGCCAGTCTTGAAACACTTGGGAATTAAACAGAGAATCCACTGCATATATTCTTCTTGAAAATTTCCATCGTATATGTTCAGAACTTTCTGAATAAGCATAAGGATTTGAAGGTAAGTGAATTTTGGAAGTAACTCACATTCTTGTGTAAGAATTACATAGAAAGTGAATATTTAATGCATTTTAATAAAACTTACAAAAGTACAAGAAGTTATCGAATATAAGGAAAATAGCCACCTATGTGCAAGTATAGCAAAAAATGGGAAATAAAAAGTTTAAAAGTTATTGTATGTCATGTAACTGTAAACTCAATCAAGGCCCGGTGGTAATCTTGATATCTGATAATCAGTTTCACACAAAAAAGCATGACATGCAGCGTTCTCAAATTTTAATTGTGCATAAGAGTCACCGTGGGACATGGAGGAGGTCCTTAAAATGCTGATTCCTGGGCACATTTCATAGAGAGTTAGGTTCACTAGGTGTGAGGTGTGACCCAGCAATCTGCATTTTTACAGTTACTCCTAAATGATCCTGATGAAAGTGGGTCCTGGGCCTTTGAGAAACACTGAAATTTGCATTCAAAACAACAGACTTCTAATTTTCAAACTTTGTATTAAATGGGCTTTTATCTTGTTTGTTTCCTTCAGTCACAAGAATAAATAAGGGAGGCACGTTTCGCACAGAGGTGCTAATTAGTGCTCCCTTTTTGACTCCCCAAGTTGAATTATTAATTTTCTTTAACATTCTTTTTTAAAGTTCAATATGATGAGCTGATTCCCAGGTGTCCCTATTTCTCTTTCAGAGTGTCAGTCTTCTCATTGTTTAGCTGTTTCTCTGTTCTGTGTAGTTTTAATTTATTCAGATGTTTATGCTTATTGGATCTAATTCTAAGAAATATCTAGAAGATGAAAATAATGAGTGATTGCCGGTATTGGCTAGGCATTTCTACATTTTTGAGGGTTTTTTCTTTTTCTCTTCATTTTGAAAACTCAGCCTTAGATTTCAAAGGGATAAATCTGCTTAATACATTGTTAGCTACTCTTTTTCCTTCACAGATTAAAACTTATAAATCATGTGATATATTTATAACAAGTTACATGTATATTTATTGAATATCACTTCATTGTTTTTCTGTTTCCTATATCTCATTTAGGAACTTCATCTTTATTATTTGTAATTTTAAATTTATGAAAGGTTTGCTTTTTTTTTTTTTCCAGTGAAAGCAGTGATTAGTAGGGACATATTCAGATCTTAAATTGTGATGATTCCTTAAAGGTTCAATATGGTATTATTTTTGTAGTGAAAAGTGAGGTTTTTAATCAAAATTCTTTGATTGAATTTCAGGCTTATAGATATTTTCTCCTCTCTATCAGTCTTTCTGTGCACTTCTTCATATTGTGGAGCATTTCTTGTCCATAAAATAATAAAAGGCAAAAATAAACCCTTAATCATAAAGAAGTATATCCCTTAATGCCTGTTAGCCATAGTATTGCACAAAGAAAGTGAATATAGTCATATACATAAAATACGGCAGCACTTTTTTCATCAAAATTAAAGAGTTACAGAATTAGATTAACTATAATATTGAATTTTCCTGTGCATTTGTTGGCAAAATTGTTCTCGATAGTAGGATTGCCATACCTGATGATAAAATCCCCAAATTTGTAGTACACAAGATCATACACTCCCCAGGTATGTGGTACACAAGTTTGTGGTTCAGTAAGGTCCCCAAATAAGATTTCATAAAGCTTTTAGTGCAAATCTTCTGTTATATTTCAATTTCAGAAAAACATAGAAACTATTCTTCAGCTCTTTCCTTTTTTTTTTTTTTTTCCTTTTCAGAGGAGCAGGTGGAGAGAGAATAGAATTGTGTCCTCAAGTGAATCACGTTCAGTATCAATGGCATATTTATCTTAGATGGTAGCTCCCTAAAGAAAACCTACAAGGTAGTTTCAGGGAAGCTGACTGAAGCCGCCTGCTTACTCAGGAAGTAAAATATACAAGAAAAGAAAAAATTATAGAAACTTTATAGAATCCTAGAAGCATACAGTTTTAGAGCAGAAATGGACCACTGAGACTTCTAGTCTGGTCCCCTCACATGTAATGGCCTTGTTTTCTCTTCCAAACTTGCTGTATAAAAGCTCAACACAAAGAGCAGGAAACATCCATCCGGTCAGGCATGACTTATTAACAAGGAGAAACTGAGCAAGTGTTTTCCAATAATGATTTCTTGATAAGGAAGATGGGGGGAAATTTTCCTCCAAGATGAAGTGAAGATCTGAAGAAAATACTCGGGTGCTTATAAATGTAGTAATTAAATTTAAAATCATTCATTATTTAGTCGTCATTAGATAATCTTTTACGTCATCAATCTAGAAATGAAAACAGCAAATTTAGATTTATTTCAAGCTGTAGCAGCTTTATCTGGAAATCTGATATTGAGGGGAAAAGAGCTAAAAGTAAGATACAGCTTTAGAACACTAGAGCCATCTGGGACTATTCAGGACAGGAGAAAGGAGATTTAAATATGTAAGAATTTCTGGGAAGTATCAGTGTTATTATGAAACAGTATAATAATGGTATTTGTGAGATATCCAAAAAGATTAAAATGTGTTTATTATTCTCAAGATAAGAAATTGAGAAGTCATTAAAATTTATATGTAAAAGTATAATTCTTGATGTGCAGAAATGCTCATAGTATACTGTAAAGGGAAACCACAAATTATAAACCATATTATAATGTGGTCCCATTTTTATTAAAAAGCTACAGAGCGGGTGGCCCTGTGGCCGAGTGGTTAAAGTTCTATGCACTCTGCTTCGGCGGCCCAGGTTCACGGGTTCAGATCCCAGACCCGGACCTACTCCACTCACCAACCATGCTGTGGAGGTGTCCCATGTACAAAAAAATGAAGGAAGATTGGCACAGATGTTAGCTCAGGGTGAATCTTCCTCAGCCAAAAAAAAAAAAAAAAGCTACAAATGCATAGGAAGAAAATTGAAATGATATACATCAAAATATTATTAATGGTTATGCTCAATTGATGAAATTATGGCTTATTTTTATTGCTTCTCGGGGTTTGTAAAACTTTTCCTAAAGTATTTATTATTAATGTAATTTTAACATATTTTTTAAGGGCTGGGAGAATATTCACTTCTCTGGGAAATTCACTTTTATTAGAACTACAAGGTCGTCCTGCTGATTGTTGTTTAAAATAGCCTTAAAGCAAAGCCCTTGCATTTTGTAGTATTAAACTGATTTGAATATGAGAATAGTACTTGCGCTTAGATCAAAATGATTTTTAGATATTTTTAGATACTTAGATTTTTAGATATTTTTAGATCATTTGTGGAATATTGCAGTAGAATAAATTTCTCAAGTTTCTCCCTTCATTAAACACTCATAAGTTCACATTATGATGATTAATTCTGTAGAAATCTTCCTCATTTTTTGTATGAGATAATTCCAGTGTGATTTCAAGAATTTTCTAACTATAATAGTTTGCTGCATTTGGAGGATAATTTTATATGTTTGGTTACATTAGTGTTAATCTGTCTTTGTTCTTTCAATCTCCAATGTAACATACGGTTAGTCTCACCATTATTACTACCAGCTGCAGTTGGCCTATGATTTTGTTCATTCTGTCTGAATTCAAAGTAATTAGCTCTTTAGTTTAATGACAATATTTGTTAATGGGTTTTTAGGGCCAAATTCTGCTGTTAGAGAGTGGGTGGTATATTTGAAGATAGAATCTGGCCCTTATGTTTTAAGCATAAGCTGGGTAATTTGATTTCAAAATGATGGTTTAGAGAATTTGGGGTAGGAAAACTAAATCTGCATTTATCTGAAGTTTCTCAGTTTCAAGAAACAGAAAATCAAAGTGGCAATTTATGTAAATGAACAACACACCCACTGAAAGTTCTCTGATGCAGCTATCCTGCATGTGTCGTTCCGTATGCAGTTGGAATAAGAAATGACATGATAATTATCAAGCAGACATTAAGTAAATTTCCTTATGTGACGGGGCATACACTGAGTCCTGTAAGTGCAATGAAACAGTTTGATCGTTGTACTTTTTTCCAGCTTGAGTGAGATGTAATTGACATATAACATTGTGTAAGTTTGAGATATACAATGTGATGATTTGATACACATATATATTATGAAGTGATTCCCACAATGAGGTTAGTTAACACATCCATCACCTCACATAATTAAGAGAGTAGATCTTAAATGTTCTCTCTCTCTCTCTCTCTCTCACACACACACACACACACACACACACAAAATTGATCATTACATTTTTGAAGGACTCAGTGAAGTAGAAAGAACCCTTGCCTGAGGATCGCTGGGGTTCAAGGTCAGACTCAGCTTCCTGGTATTGGCATGACCTTGGGGAAATCTCTTTACCTCTCCCTAGGCCTCAGTTTCTTTATCCTAAAATGAGGCCTCTGCACCAGATGATCCCAGTGGTCCCTTCCAGCTCAAAAATGATAACTAACTTATTTTAAAAGAGCACTATAAGGAATGCACAAGGAGGGCAAGGAAGGTGCAATGACTTGAGCTAACTTAATAAACAAATCACTGTCTACTGAAAGGTACTTTGGAGACATTTTGACCTTAAGAACTTTCCTTCAATGATGTGTTACTTTTATCCTGGAGAAGACAAATATTTGGAAGGTTTTAGGTAGAGGAGACTATAGACTGCTCTATTAGAAGGTTTCAAGGAGACCAGTTTTGGCAAAACTTGAAAGAAGAAAAAACCCCACCTAGCAACAGCTGAGATATCCAACAATGAAATAGGATGCTTTGGGAGATCATGGATTCACCATCATTATAGGAAGGAAAGTGGGTACCAAGGGGTATATGTGCAGCCAAACTGCCTTTCAAGCTTTAAAAGCTAGAGGCAAATATTCTGAACATGTGGGAACTCAGGAAATGCTGTTATCGTGAGCCCTTTTTGAGGCAATTATTAAAGGACCAATTCCATCAAACGAAGAGGTGACTCTGGAAACTACTGCAAAAGACGATTGTGAGCATTGCATGTATTTAACTCTAAAACTAAACCTAAAATAAATATGGAGATTAAGGTGACAGGATCGAGCATAAAAGTAT